ACAATGAAATTCCATGTTTTCATACCACAATCTCATCCCTGCGTTCTAATACTGTAAGGTACTCTACCCATAAACTGAACTTGGCTGCATAATATGAATATAGAGGTGTTATATCAACAGCTTTTCAACATGATGTTCAGTTGCGCAGTTTACTAGTCGATGATTTGTTATTTACAGAGCATATCAATTTCAATAAAATAACCATTCTGAGCCCCAGTGAATCCTTGTAGAGTGTATTAGCATTTACTTTGCAATAAGCTGAGTCAATTCCACTGCAGTTCACTAGTAAAATGTCTCTAATCCCAGATGTAACAGACAAAAAACCAGGGCCTCCAATAAAATTGGGGAATCCTATAGAAACAGATGCTATGATGGAGCATAAAAACTGCTGAATTGTAGGTTTTGCATTAGAAACTACAACGGACCAACTGCAACGAATCCAAACCAGGTAGAAGGAGTCAGTCAAGGATTTGTTTGTCTCCCAAATCTCATATTCTATAGTGAGGATCATTGTTCACTTGTCAGAAGTCATTTTTTGACAGTTGTAATTAAATTCGTATATTTAGAACTATTTTTTAAAAGTGTGAGTATTTAAAGATAATTGTGGTGTTAAACGATTTTAAGATGTGGTACTTCTTATATTATTTGCAAAGAGAAGCACAAGCTTAATGAACGAAGATGTTTCCACCGATAAGTATTATCATTTTTATGTTGATGCATCGCTGTCACTTTGGTAGGCATTGATAGACAAATGAGCCAAAAGTATGCACTAAAACCATGCAATTTTTGAAACAAAAAATGCAATATAAACATATAGACTTGGCTCTTTCTAATCTATTTGGATTCGTTAATGACGATCGTGACTGAAATGATCATCTGAAACAAATGACAACGAATATTTTCTAAACATCACATCTGCCGGCTGTCGGAATTGTTTGTACAAATTGCGTGTGAACGATACGTCGCGTACATTATACCAAATGTTGATATGTAGAGCCTGCTAGCAATTGCTAAACATATCCTTAAGTTGCAGAAGGCTGGGGGGAATCCAGAATCACGTTTTAACGATAATACACATCTAAACTAACCTGAAAGAACACTAAAATATTAATTCCTGTACTTTTTGTATACGACCAACTTGGTTTTTCGCTGTTTCAATTAGAAATATACACAATATATATAGAGTCGGTATCCGAATATAATAATATAAGCCATCCTTTGGACGTAACCTACAGATTTTTTGAAGAAAGCTGTTGATATGACACCTACCAAATGGAATGGAAACAAGGGAAGATCACATAAAATAAGAAAAAGATAAATAAAGCAACTGGACGTATGCATTGGTGTTTCCAAATTATTTATTTTTGAGATCCTTCAAAGGAACATAATGTCACCTACTCGCTAAACTAACAAAAAAGTAATAAACAAAATGATGTACTCCACCTACTACAATATATTATCGAAAAATATGAAAGACTACAAACAAATGATATATTATGGTATATTAAGCGACTTTTTTTTAAGTAAAAAAAAACGCTGACATGAAATTCGCTTGTTATTAAACAGGCAATAGAGACTCAAAGCTATATCAGGGACGAACCTTTTCTATACTGCAATATCTAGTATATTAGGACTCCATTGCCTGGCCGAATAAAACCAAATATACATAATAAAGGAAATTAGAATATATATGTGGATAGATTATATCCGACAATGGAGGTCTATGACCGTAAAAACCACAGAATAAGTTTCAAGAATTAGTAGTAGTTGGAGTACCTGGCATAAAGCATTACCCGCGATTTGAGGAACTGAACTACAGGTAAAATACTCTTCGAAATTAAGTAAATAAATCTGTAATAAAACCTAAAAAGTAGCTATCAATAATAAGGAGGCAGATAATGTTTTATACATTGCTGGAAACTCAAATAGTATCTCTAAAACTTAATTACCTGGAAATGAAACTGTGAGTATATTATATTTTACTCATACTGAAGAACAAATTCGGATAAACTTAACAGTTATATTTATAATAAAAACAAATGAGAAAATACTAATGTAAAGAAAAAGAAGGATAAAAAATCAATTTTGAGAAAAGGCATATCAGAATAATTCACACTGAAGAGAAAAGATAAAATCCTTTACACCTTATGCTATGTGTATCTTTATTTCTATATAGATGTTTCGTCGCTTGTTCTGTAACAATAGGTTCAATATATTAATAACAAATACTAAAAAGGAAGAACTGCGTTTTTGGATTGAACAGTAACATTGCTAAGGATCTTCGTTTAAAAATTGTGACAGTGTTCTAATATGCCCTAACTGAGAAAAAATAAAACTAACAAGACACCCGCGATTTGGCTTTAACCAATGGTACGTCACTTTTTGTCCGTAAACCATACGGAAACATGCTCAAAGCTTCTGTACAAATGGGCCAATACAGGAATCACCAACGTATACAAGGTATATTATCTCATCTATACCGTTGTATTTCAATACTATAATACCAATAAAATGCCAAAGACAAATACCAAAATAAATTGACATTTATCTATTTGGAGGGATCGTATATTTACTTTTTGTAACCAGGTATTACCTCTTACCACAAAATGTCACTGAATAACTAAAGGAATAACAAAATCAATGTCAACATTGCACCAGTTTGTGTGAACAGTTTGGATAATGATGGTAATAATCATAGACTGATCTGTGTAAACTCATGATGACCTATTATGCACAGGAGCCTTTAGATGCTAGAGACTTGAAGGGTTTCTTATATAACAGATTCATGAACTTGATGACAACTTTGTTTGTTAAGATTCTATCATGTTTTAGTATATTCCTAATCATATATTTTTGTAATTGAGCTGACTGACAAAACATTAGTCAAGATGGGAGGCTCATACGGATTATATTGACATAAAATGTTTCTAATACATACGCAGCACACTGGAGTAAAATAATTACTCGGCTTTGGAACCATATGGATGCTTGAATAACTTTCCATGAAGTCAGTTTACAAGTCTCTAACACCCGAGCAAAAAAGAGTCAGGCATATCCCATCCACCTTTCAACTATTCCTACTCCTACGTAAACGTAAACCGTTAAAATAAGGTTTAAACACTATCACAGCTCTTTCACGTCTCGTACTCTAAATATTTTCTGCGATCACCTGACCAGAATAATAACAATTGATTGCTCCAACGCTATTCGCATGAACCCCAATGTCAAATTTGAAAGAAGCTGGTAATTCTACACCAAGTTTCACAGGAAGGAGAACGCGTGACTTGCTATTGTAGCTTGTAGCAAAAATAGACTCTGAAACTCATTCGTGAATCGAATGTTGGTTGACACAGCATTCTATATTATACTAGTGTAGCTCAACAATATTAACAGCTCTGAAGTAACATATTAGGTATATCCAAAGCATAGCATAAAAGTTCAAGAGGCGTTATCGTTAGCCGGTTTTCTAAAAAAACCCTGTCGACTCGAAGATGGAATGCCAAGAAAATTTTCAATCTTGTTATCAACAATCACATGCAATCAGATCTTCCACATTTTCACTGCTGTGGCTCAACGTAATCATTTTAGATGATCTCGTATGGAATAACCTATAGGATTTAAGTCTAGAGAAGGAATAGGCAGTTTCTCTTTGACCTATTCAACCTTATGTTTTTTCTGAGAACTTTCGTGCAACAATATTGAAGCTGCTGGAAGTAGCTCAATAAGAAATGATACTGATCTATTTGGAATAGTTAAATAGTTTTGAGTCCTGCAATCTAGCTGGGGGTAGATTAAATAATTTCACATATACTCTTTTCGAATAAATAACGTATATTTTTTTGTTTGCAAGTATTTTGATCGCCCTATCCTTATACGAAGCGGTTTTACAAAAATTTCCAGATAATGAAATAGTCCTGGAATAGTCAAAATAATCACCCCTTGAATTTTTGTCCCATGTTTATAAACGGGCAAAAGGTGGTTGTCTCGTTGGAAGCATAATTCGAGATAGTAAAATCATTTTGTGCTGTGTAATACATTTCGGGATTGTAATGCTGTGTCTTAACCTGCTCACCTGCATGCATTATGTGAAAACTTGATGTGATATCACAATTAAGCACTATTATCTAGGAATTGCCTAAAAAGAAGTATTGCTTAGTTTTTTTCGATAAATTGTACGCATCCTCTATTTGATACCAGGGTTCGTCTAAGTTAAACTTAGCATGAATAAACGAAATCCAGACACAGCTGTCTGCGTATATACCATGTACATATATGAATTTAAATATTCTTTAAAAGAACATTGCAGATAGTAATTAATAGCAACGATAATCGTTTTAGATAAATGATCTATTAGTAAAAAATACTAAATAATTTATTATCACTAAACTTTAAATGTTAAATATATTCCAGGAATAAAGACTTATTGAGTGACTCGCTTATCAGAAACATAACAATGATAGCGAAAAAATCATTGGACAAAAGCTGGAATATATACGCGACAGGAAACTACTAGGTGAGGTGGGTGACGATAACAGTTATAACAGACGACAGTCGCTGGTTCAGATGATACTTCAAATGAAACCTTTCAGAAACCTTCAAAGGGCCAAAAAGTTTAACATAAAAGTTGTAGGAATTCAAAAAGACTAGCACATGGTGACTTTGTGAACGACCTAGACCTACATGGGATCTCCATTTTGTGTTTCTAGAAAGAAAGAATCGACTGTGACGTGGTATATTGCATACGATTCGGAATGAAATTTTGAATAAGAACTCTCCTGATTTTGGTTTCAATCTTAGTAGTATACAGCTAAGGATTTAACATTAATTGCACCACGTTTTGTTAACTGATGATTTTTAAGTAAACAAAAATGGATAAGATCACTGATTAACGTATTCTACCTGAGGGTACCCAACCTGCGTTCAAAAAATTATCCAAGATAAAATGAGATATCGTAGCGTCATCTAAGGGAGTTTGTCACAGCTATGATTCTTCTTTCCGTACTAAATAGAAATCTGATTTAAAAAGGTTAGTGTCTCATACGGCGCTCCAGTATTAGCATATAGTGTATATTAGGGTACAGCGCCACCTGACACGCTTACCTTTTTAAAGTATATTTCTAATTAGTGCGGAGCGGATAAACAAACGTTGCTGTCGCAAATTCTCATAGATGACTCTACGGTACCTCATTTTATCTAGGATATTTTTTTTGACAGTATCTCCAGGTAGAATGCGTTAATCAATGATAAGATTTAAATAATTCGAAATACTACAAATACCATCTCACACCATTCGAAGGTTTCCCAGATTCATTTTTAACCCACCCACACCAACGACTGTCGCGCTCAGACTTCGCGCGATGCGATTTCGATAGGACCGCGACGCGACTCATAACAACAGACGATGCACTTGCACTCAACGTCAATGAGGAGGCGTCTCCTCCTCAGCGTCCAGAGGACTGGGTGACAGGAACTTTCTCACGTATTTTGGATAGTGCGTCTTTTCATGTGCCTTGAGGATGGTGGACCGGGAGAAGGTCTTCCCGCACAAGGCACACCGGAAGGGCCTCTCCCCTGTGTGCACACGACAATGGTCCTTCATGTGGTGACGCAGCTTGAACGCCTTCCCGCAGAACTCGCACTTAAAGGGCCGGTCTCCGGTGTGGACGGGCAGGTGGCCGATCAGCGAGCCCACATCCGGGAAGGATTTGCCGCAGAACTTGCACAGTACGACTCCACCCGTACCGGTGCTGCTTCCGAGTCCACTGCTGCTCGCTACAAATGTTATTTGTCATTTATGCACGCGATTTGTGTCACGTGATACCATAATTTTGCAATCTTCAACACAGTGGCGTATAAAAGAGGGACCCTGGTTCAAAATGCTGATCACGTTCTGGCCGAGTTTGCCAGTTTTTAGGTGAAGCGATTCATATATCTCAACATTAGCAAATGTATTTCAAGTTTGGAATGCTTTGGATTTGACGGAACCATATTCAATTTTAATATTTTGACGGTGATAAAGAATCTGTTAGGGCTCTAAGTGAAGGGTTATATGTGTGTCAAATTTTGTGTATGATTTTTTTAAACTCGTATATGATAACCTCAAACATTTAAAACGTATTTTAAAGCTTTAATAGCGTAAACACATGAACATTTATTTCGTGATTAGTCACAACATATATGGAAATAAATATTACTTTGCCTCTTAAAGACAGGAAAATAAGTCAATGGCGATTTTCCTAGTGAGACACATTGTTTTTTCTTTTTACCAATCCTCCAATATTTTTTGAACTACGACGCTTCAAACTTATTGAAAAGTACAGGGTGTTTCCCGCTGCAAAAGCAAAATTTTACATAATTTCTTCGGAAAAGTACGTTTATGCTATTTTCGAGCTCTTTAAGAAGTAGACAATATATTTTGTACTATTTTCACTCTACAAGTTAAAACTAAACTAACTGTGTGAATTCTCTTAGATGAGCACGCTAGCACAATTTGTCATTTTTAGGCGCAAGATGGCATTCCTTTCAATATTGTTTGTATGTTTTATTGGTCCTACAACAACCCTACCCCCGACCCCTCCCCCCCCGCGAAACCTGAGGGTCCCACTCGAATTCAAGTCCTATATGCGCCACTGGCTTGACATGTGGTTCGCGTGACACTCTCTGGTGACACAAATGCGCGCTTTAGGGTTCGTGTTCACTTGTAACTAGCCTGATAGGTTCACTATTATTGTGAATCTTTTGAAATAATAGAAAGTGACATAGATAACAAAACACCCAGTGATAGTGGATTTATTACAACAACTTTCGGTATACATGCCGAGTTAGGTAAGTCATCGGTCAAAATGTCAGGAAAATCCAACCGCTGAAAATAATGTAAAAAATGAATAATTTATTGGGCTCCCTCATGTCTCATGCACTCAGGAAACAAATTGACTTGACTGTTTTCAAAATGGACAAACGCTATTCTGGTTATATGTGATCGCACATAATTTTGTTTGAAAAATGGGCATCCGAATATAAGGCAAAACGTGTGGTTCCAGCACCGTCTGGATGTAACGCATGGCACTTTGGTGGCAAACTGTAGATCTAAAGATAAACAATTCGCATTGTAATACACTTTCCAAGCTTCCAACGATACGTTCGCAATGTGCTCCCGTAGAGCGAACAACTAAGGCGGCGATTTTGGTGTGGGGCCGTTCTTCTGATAAGTCATGTATCTCTAACTCTTCGTATACGACCTTCCTGATTGCATGTCTGACCACAAAATTACCATCGTATTTAGACTTATGTGCATCCTGCTGGCTATTTCTCTAAAGGTCCAGCCAACCTCATACAAGCCCACTATTCGCTACCTATTAAACTCGCTAAGCTGTTGAAAACTTTCTCGTCTTCTCGCGCTAGACATAATGAACCGATTGGAGCAGCTCTTTATAACGTATTTTACAATGATCAAATGCCAATTGTAGCTACGAAACACAACTATCGCCTAGTTACTTTTTACAGTTTTGCAGTTACAGACGATATCACAAAAACTACTTTATCGATTTGGTTGAAAGGCTGACTGTTTTTTGTCCTAACCTAAACAAACATATACCCCGAATATCTTTGTAACAAATTCAATATTACTGGGTATTAATTTTTCTATGTCACTTATAATATATATTAGTGAAAAAAAAGACGGAGCCGTCAAGTGAAAAACAAGATCCTGCTTCAAATATAAGTACATAAATTTCTAAAAATGAATATTATTTAGTTATATATATACTTCGAAGTTGAGTCATTTATTTTAACAGTGAGTAGATCTGATCAAAAGAAATGTTTTTTTCCTTTACCATTTTCCTGGTAAAATTAAAGTAACAAAGTTATAGCCCTTTGGAAGTTTGAGTACCGCCCTGTCTCAATAACAATATTATGTGGTCGTGTTTGGCGACAATGGATATAATCCGCCGTATCGGTTCATCGCATCGGAAACAAAAAAGCGAAAGAATTTGGAACGATGTTTTTACAGGTATCTCATTCATTTGTATACAGTTAGTGTCAGTGAATAGTTGTATGTGTTGCGTGGCTCAAACGAAATAAAAAATGGCACATGTTTAAGCGGATCGGTTTCCCAATCGAGTGCAACCAACCCCTCGTGCCTTTGTTAATGTAGTACAACGGGCTTGTGAATCAGGTGACTTAAGACCTCACAGGGGACCTCACGATCAAATACAGGTCCGCACTGAAATACTTGTCGGGAGGATACTTTATAAAACAAGGTAAAAATTTTTTTTTATTTTTACACACATATTTTGGTTTATCTTCCTTCTACAATCATTATCTGAAAATTAATGACTCAACTTCAAAGTCACCCTGTATATATATATATATATTTCATCTGATCTTTTTATAGTGAATATTAGAATAATACCCGTATGAATGGAATTTTCCAGGACTAATGCATACCGTATGAAGGCAAAGGACGGTATCTGGCAGTGCAGACTCTAGAGAAAAATCATTTGCGATACCCTGACCATCCTTCGATACCTCTTGGCATTATGCTTGACCAAAACAGTAATTATAGCTTGGTAGCCAGGAAATGTTACAGGATTCCACAGTATGCTCTCCGAGAAAAAATATTCCTTCCCGTGGCATCAAACGGCATACTGTGTTATCCCGTGGCGGAAGATGTGATGCGTCGGCAGCTCCCGTCACCAAGGACATACGTACTGTTGTCAGCTGTCGGACTGTTGAGAAATGTCGACGGATGCCCACAGTATGTTGGGGGATTTCTCTCATCAGAGTGTGCTAATTCAAAGAATCGTTTCGCTTTGGAGTAGAATCTCGTATTATTAATATGAAAAACAGTTTGATCTACGAGCAAAAAGAAGTGGAGTGTATACTTATCGTACCGCTAGCGGCAGCTTCTTCAAGGTCCAGCTGGGTGGTAGGTGGTTGATCAGTAGGATCAGGGGGCTCATGCTTCAATCTGCCCCCAGTGGCAAAATCGAACGCCCCCGGGGTGGCAGAGAGAGCAGGATCCCCTAGGGTCGGAAGACCATGCCTGTGTTGCTGCTCCCGGTACTTGAGCGTCTCCAGACTGTGCGACAGGATATGCCTGGTGAGCTTGCTCTGGTGGGGGAACGAGTTGCCGCAGTACATGCACGGATAGAGACGCGCGTGCGACTGGGGGGGACTGCTACCCCTTTCCAAGGTATCCCCTGCCCCCGCCTGCTGCTGCAATACAACCAAACAATTGAACGCGATCAACTTGCGAGTCCGGCGGCGGCACGCGTATCAAGTGGTGCTGACGCGCTAGAAGGGGAGCGGAGCGCCACGTGACCGTCTCCAGGTTACAGCGATCAGAGCAACTAGTCCATCCATATTTTTTAGGGTTTTCATCTTCTTGACCAAAAAAGCATGTCAAATAGCCTTATACGGGCAAACGTCATTAGACGAGAAGTGAAAACTGAACACTTTGCGCTAGGATAGCGGCAAATGACAAGGATCATAATTAGTATTTCTAATCATGCACCGCATAACTGAATGAGCCTAGGTAGAACAGGAAAAACTTGGCTGAGAACTATTATTTAGAGATTGGATAGACTTCAGTGTAGAGCCAATATTTTACATGGCAAAAGATTGGAAAGCGTTTAAAGTAGTGGTCGAGAAGCTTTATTAAAGACGACAGAATTGTAAAAATAAGAATAAGAAGAAGAAAAAGAAGCTGCAAATGCTGGATTCAAGCAGATACCAAAGAGACTATGATATTCGAATACAATAGATGGAAAAAAACTGAAGAAGCGTCAGAGTAGTAGAACCATGACTGAAAATTCAATAGATAACCAAGGGTGCATCCCGTGTTGGATAAGCATTTATATACGAGGGATGTACGAACTGATCTTTGTTGTGGATTATTTTGAATATTGTGTCGTAAGAGGTCAATGTGATAAGAATCTATTAGTGATAAAGTGATATCTTTAGGAAGATGTCGATCATTGAATTGTTCCGTGAAACTAGATTGTAAAAAGGAGAAGAAGAATAAGAAACTGCAAATGTTGGATTCAAGCAGGTGTCAAAGAGACTAAGATAGGAGATAAAAAAATCTGAAGAAGCGTCAGAGTAGTAGAACCATGACTGAAGAGATATCCAAGGATGTATCATGTGTTGGATGAGCATTCATGTTGCAGGGATGTATAAACTGATCTTTGTTGATGATAAAGTAATATCATTAGGAGGATGTCAGTCATTGAATTGTTCCGAGAAACTAGATGTCAAATGTTATATAAGTACTGTGTTGGCGACAATAGGTCAAAACCTTAATTATCTTGGGTGTTACAATTCCTGTATAGACTACTTTGGAATCTAAATCGTTGAAATAAAGCGTAATTTCACTGGTTTGCGGGAATAAACATCCGGAGAAGAGTTTTATGTGCAGTGAAAAATCTAAAAGTCTCTGATGTATATAAAAGACCTAGTGTAAAACAGATCAAACGATCTTGATTAATATATTCCTTACTCCAAATTCTTGCTATAATATATTATGAGAAAGAATGACTGTGGCTTATAGGTCCCCAAAGTGGCACTATTTTCGGTAACATTATTTTGGACCCAAATTCCATAATATAAGCGTCAAATCTTTAAGAGGTAACTAGATGGAATGAACGAGTTGCTCTGAACGCATTGTGTACAAGTTGACGTTTCATTTGTTTGGCTGTAGGAAGCATTGCAGTGCTGGTAGCTCTTGGGTTTTAGTGCGGCTTGGCAACACTGGACGCGCGAACACCACGCAGAGCCAAAATGATTGTCAACTTCCCTTCCTGACGGCACACGTGGCACACTACGTCTTTCCCCTGATCGCGTTGAAGCACTACACGCCTACCTCATCACTATTGCTAAATACACTGGAAATGTTCCATTTATTGTTGGGTCAAGATCCCAGGGCTATAACATCTTCAAACGAAAGGGCCAAAACGTGCCACTTGTATTTCAAGTTATTTTCTCATGTACCGTATCTCTAAGCATCTGCGCAACACTAGTTTAAGTACATTCACAATTGATACTTCCATATACAGTGACTTTCGAAATGGCTACTCTCCATTTTGTGTTTTGAATGGGTTAAGTTAGAGGAACGATGAACTGGTATAAAGTTAGCTGAAAATTCCACAAAGGCGGCTGGTCGCCATCTTGGAAATTTTTTTTAAAATAGGATAGATGGTCACGTGTTATATCATTTTGAAGCCCCTTATGAGTAGTTTATAAGCCCAGAACATACATTTAACTTTCAAAATGGCGGACTGGCGGGCAAATCATAAAAATGCTACAGTGTTATACTCGTATCGATCTTCTTCTGGGAGGTTCCATTTGAATGTGCAATGAGATGTGGCACATTCCGTTCAATCAAATGATGGATTCTGTTCAAAGAAATTGACAGATTATGATATTACGTTTTGAATAGATTGTCCATTGATGTTGTTGATTTATAAGCAATTCAAAATATAATAACGCTCAAATCTGACGGCCCGCCAGTTCGCCTTTTTAACAGTTACTAAATTTATACTATATTATATACTACTTTATAAGGATCTTCAAAATGAAACATCACATGAGCTCCCACTCCATTTAAGCAGCTGTTCTAAGATGGTAGTAACTTTCATGCTAAAATATATTCATGCAACAATTTCATCATACCCAATTTCAGCTTGCTAGCTTGACATGTTGTTCAAAAATAAAGAGGAATTTTTGGAAAAGCCTTGAATTCAAGGCTAGCGCATATCAGGAAACAGAGAGCATCGCAAATAATTCCCCTTTCTATGACGGATATTGATGATAAAAAAACGGTGCGACATCGAGAGCATCCATCGTTGTAGCCTACCCGACGTGACGCTCCTGGCCCCGGTACTCTACATGATTCCCTTCGATACGAAGAAGAGAGTCTTCTCTCGCGGCATAGGAGATCATGGTGATGAATCCTGCGGCGGAAAGAATTGGCATGATTAAGCCCACTCGGGTTGCCTAGCTTTAGATATTACCTACTGCCGTAAGCTGATGAGAGGCGAAACCCTGTGGCATATCTGAGGGAAAATCTTTTGCGATGCTCTCCCTTGCCATCCATGTTTTTTCGTGCCCCTTCGGCGCAGTGTATTAAAATCCCATTTACTCCCCGTCAAAGCGAAAACTGAGTGGGCGTATTTATTTTGACGCGGAATAATTGAGTAGGAATAGTAACATTGTTTGCGCTATTATGACGGTCTCAGATTTAATCTGATCAAACGCGCGTTATCGGTAACTTGTAAAAAATGTTTTGTGGTCTGAAGATTGAAAAGTTGTAGTGCTACTTATATCTGCTTGTTCTACTAGAAAGGTGATACAACTGGAGCGCAAGACGCATGGCGTTGGAACTTACCGTTATATTTTGATAACCAACCATCAATGCTGCCTCGATTATTTCGAGTTGCGGTTTATACATAAGATAAACGTCGGAAATACAAGCGGAACTGTTACTTTTTTCTTTCTTAAAAATATATACATGTCTGGCACCTCTGGGAACTCCTTCTTGGGATAACTGTTCAGAATATAGTATATCTACCGTTTAAAGGGTGATTCGTGTGAAAACCGACTACGTTCGCATCATCGGTGACTTAAAAGAATGACCACTAGAACGAATCTATTTATAAGCATAATTTTGCAAGTTGGGAGTAAGCACAATTTTTTTGGGACACCAAACACAAAACACACAACTTGATGCCATATTAAAAAGTGGTGAATGCTAGGACTTTTATTCTGACGCAACTTAACTTTCAACTTGGGTAACTATAACTATCAGATGTTCGTGAATTCGTTATTAAGTCACAATTTTTGATGCGGCAACGCTGCTTTTACGTCTGAGCTATCGCGATCTATGCGTTTCGTGCCGTCACATTAAGCAAAATAGCTTATGCATTGAGGTGTAATTACAAATTTATAGTTGACCCATAGATGGACCTCTGGTTAAAGTTATTCACCATTCTAGGAAAAAACTGATATTGAAAAACGCTGTCCGAGAGTTAACATCCATTTAGGAGTAAAAATACAGTTGATAGTGCTCGGGTGTGATTTAAATCATTTATTTCTCACAAAAGTCCTTCAGCATATAATAAAGAATGACTGACATACATTGAACACGTTGACTGCCACGCCAATTTTAAGAAGTTCCACAAACAATAATATTTTGTTTCTTGGATTTGAATAAATTATTGTAATTATATTTTTTGTTCGTTTTTTTTATAAGGTTTCTGTTCATGCAAGCCAGCATTGATCCTTTGTACTTTTCCCAGAAGCCACTTATCGACATAAGCACTGATATATGCCGAGTTTAATCGTAGCTGCACAAAAATGGAAACTCTACAGAGGACGTGATAACTCGTAGTTAGCAGTCAACGTGTTAAGAGACACAACAACCAATTTAACTGGAACTCTACTGCTAGCCGAAAGTTAACTCTCAAAAAGCTTTGTCCATGTCAGTTTTGCCCTGAAGTGGTAGTTATCTTTAACCATAGGGCCATCTGTAGGTAAACTAGAGCTGTCACAGATGACAAGAAATCCACTAAACTCAAACTCCGAACGTCATAAAACGAACAGAATTCGATAGTTCAGAAGTAAAGCAGCGAGCCACGTCAATATACATAGGTTTAGTAAGCCAGATCTTGTAAAACGAATTCACGGTAAGCAGACAGTCAACTTCCGAGTTACAGTTACCTAGCTTGAAAATTAACCTACGACTGAAACACTGGACCCAGGGAATGTCGAGAGTTCGAGGATGAATATTAATTTGATATAATATGCTATATCTCTATTTTTTATGTGAAGACAATTCAAGTAATCATTGACATTACATAGTCCTTAGAATCCTTAATGAATCCAACTATTGTATTAAAAATTGAACGCAAAAATTCGCGTTGCAAATGCTTAGAAAATATGCATGAAGCATGAAGCTAGTACGTACCTTTTCTATGGAAGGAAATGCATTGTGTTGTGTCGTATCGGAGCTAAGTAAAATATTCATAGCGTAATGACGATAACATGTCATGGAATCTATTGTGACAGAAATACTATACTGTTGGAGTATGATCACTTAAATTACTGATAATTTTGTATCGATATATTGCTTTATGGGACACTGAAAACGTTGGATGACTACCGGTAACATTCTCAATTAAACATTTGTCTTACATATCTAATTTGAGGGTAAATATGGGACTCGGGTACCTGTTAGGGGAATAGGGTCAGCAAGACATAACTCTTAGTCATGAGACTATTTAACTTACCCAGAACTTAGAAGTGCTAAATTTCATATGCTGACGTAGGTTTTCAAACTCTCTATCCGTTGTTGAAAATACGAGTTTGTATTACTAAACTGGGCGGAACCAGGCTGGTTCAGAAACTACGTCTAGACTCATATTTTATGTTTAAATCGAGGACACATTAAACCATTATAATAATATTGACTCATTTTCTATACTGTAAAAAAATTGGCCGATTCCACCGTTAAAATATCTATAAGGTATTCAACTTACCAAATCTTGCTGACGATTGTAATCGGAAGATCCCTCCCCTGGACTTTTGTCTTCCCCTCCTCCCCAGTCCACTTCTTTTTTGAGACTCTGAAACAAAAACATAATGTGGTGACAACTGACAACAAAGATACCTTAAGAATGCTCTCGCTACTAAGAGCTGGAAGAACTGTTTTCAGAAAGTCGTCGAGGTCAAAAACTATGAAAATAGGTTATTTATTGGAGTCACTTAACAAAGCATTTATCATAGGTAAAGATCAAATAGAGAAAATGAAACAGTGAACAATCTATTCCGGATGGCATCCTCAAGTCATCGTTGGTTGTCAGAGCGGTCCGTGGGATCTAAGCTCTTGAGTCACAGTGTCAGTTTGTAAGTCTGTCAGGTCTGGTAACCCAGAAACCAGACAATTTTAAGGAAAAAAGGGAAGGAAAGGAGAGAAGGAAGAACGAGAGCAAAGGGGAAGAAGATAATCTTTTAGGATAGGCATCGTTTAGGCATTGTTAAAATTACTTCACAGGTTTTGATATGGTCTGAAAATATTCGATTTTTTCTAAAGATTTTGTCAAAATGCTCCAATTTTGGTTGTTCTAAGTTCACGAATTAATTTTGATTACAGTCCGAGCCGCGGCCTTTTATGCTTGCCAACTTGCTCGACTGTGTAGTCCACTAACCCATGCAACAGAGGGTTGCTGTACGATTCCGCTAGGCTATAGCGCCGCTGCGCCTGTTGCTTAATGTAGTCCTTTAGGTAAGGGATATCGAGGTCTCTATGAAGAGTTTCGTTAGAGACATACCACGGGGTGTCAGCAATAGTGCGCAACGTCCTGCTTTGCAGAACCTGCAGATTTCGGATGTGTGTTTCAGCAATAAAACACCAAGCCGCACATGCGTAAGCCATTGCTGGTCTTATGACCACCTTATAGAGTCGAATCTTGTTAATGAAACTTAATTTTGAACGTTTACATAATAATGGGTAAAGCTGTCGAAAATTAATTTGGAATTTAGTTTTTAGCGCTTCTATATGGTTCCGCCAAGTCATCGTTTTGTCCAAAATGACACCGAGATACTTAGCGGAGAATTCCCATGGTATACGAAGTCCATTCATTGAAACTTCAGACGGAACGCCGCGACATCTTTTTGTACAGTAGATTGCCTGCGTTTTCGAATGGTTAATTTTAATTAGCCACCGATCCACCCAATCTAATACTTCCTCCATCGCACTTTGCAGCCTGTCATGGACTAGGTGACCAGACCACGACTGAGCTACCAATGCAGTATCGTCAGCATAGAGATAGACTTCACAGTTGCTGGAACTAGGGACGTCATGGAAGTACAGTGTGTAAAGGATAGGTCCAAGGACCGAACCCTGAGGGGACGCCGGCTGTAATGAGCCGTGTTGTCGACAGGACATTGTCAATTTTGATCCGAAATTTCCTACCTTCAAGGAAGGATTTCAGTAGTTTTAGAAGCCAAAAAGGGAAGTCTCTTGGATTAGTTTATACAGTAGGCCCGCGTGCCACACCTTGTCAAATGCTTTTGAGACATCCAAAAGCAAGATGTCAGTACTTTCGTTAAGGGTGAATCCTCTGGTTACTAGTTCCACCTGTCTAATCGCCTGTAGCTCCTTACTATGATCAGACTGAAAACCGAATTGCACGTCAGGAATCACATGGTGATCTGACGAGAAATTCTCAAGGTGACGTAGAATCACCTTTTCAGCTTAGACGGAGCTGACAGCAGGCTAATGGGACGATAATCCTGGGGAAATTTCGATCCCACCTTCTTTGGAATCATTATAACTTCAGCGGTCTTCCACGTGGATGGGAAGTACTGGATCCTTAGCATGCATTGACTATTGCCACGAGATAAGTTAAGGACTTCTGCGAAAGCAGCTTCAGCGCCTTATTAGTGACTTAATCGTCATCAGGTGCTTTACGCACTTCAAGGTCTTTAATATGACCTTGAATCTCTGCTGGTGTGCAATGCTTTATCTTGGGAGATGCCGCTGATGTGCTAAGTAGATCTTCGGTTGAAGAAGCTTCTGAAGAAGAATCTTTTGATGAAGAAAAATCACCAACGGTAGCGCGATTGACACTGACGCCGTTGGCCCTAAAATATCTCCTGACAGATCTTACGATGTGTTGCTCCTCGTCGAGGTCATTATCAAGATCATAGTTGGGAGAGAACTGTCTTTCCATGGTATCGGCGAAAACCTCAACCTTTTCCTCTGTCCTGATGACAATGCCTCCAGGACCGTGGATGTGTGGGATTTGTTCTCGCTTTCCGTTTTTGATCGACTTCGCCACCTTCCAGAGAGGAATGCTTGAGTCAAGCATCCCCACCAGAAAGTCGTTCCATTGCTCATTGCGGAATTCATGAAGAGCATTTCTTCAGGATGACAAGACCTTTTCGCTTGTTTAATTGCAGCCCTTTTATCAGAAATTTTCTGACGAATGTCTGCTGGCAGAAAAGGTCTGCCACGTCGCTGCACTGGAAGTACAGCTGCACGCTGCAGACCTTGCTGAACAAAAGTTGTCCACTCTGCTTGAGCCGCATCTATACCGTTCTCATAATCTATGATCGGAATATTGGGGAACTCTCTGAGGAGCGACTTGTATAGCTCAGGGTAATGTCGCAACGCAATGGCGGTCTTTCTGGACACTGGCTAAGCACGAGTGCCGTCGATTCGAAGGGTTCCTACACTATGCGGGAAGTAATATTCAGAGATCGTAAGATGGGTGCTCTTGACGATATCGACATCAACAAAGCTTCTGGTTTGGACTTGATTTGTGCGATTGAATTAAACAGGTGTGCAGCTGAGATTGCTCCAGTTCCTTCGCGTTCCTTTCAGATATGTTACCAATCCAACACCTTCCCAGAAAAGTGGAAATTTGTTCATATCCAACTGATCCCAAAAAAGGGATCTAGGACCGACCGTTGCAACTACAGATCTATAACTCTGCTGTCTGTTATAAGTGGATAAACCGCGAGCTTCTGGACTACCTCGAAGGTCACGGCTTGATCAGCGACATGCAGTATAGTCTCCGGAACCACCGATACACAGAGGGCCTCCTAATTTACGTCATGCCATTGTGGAGTAAACTCATCCAGTCTTATGGTGAGGCTAATGCCGTTGCTCTTGATATCACGAAAGCGATCAATCAGCTATAGCACGCTGCCCTCTTATGTAAAGTTCCATCCTATGACCTCCCAGAGAAGATTTACAGATGGGTGGGTGACTTTCTATCTAGCCGCGAGATATCGGGTTATTCTCTTCATCCCACAACGTCAACGCGGGTGTCACCATTGCTCCATGTTTTAGAAATACGATATCAACTTACAGGATGGGTATCTCGCAAGCACATTATGGATAAACCATATACATCTTTTTCTATCGATTAATTACATAGTACAACAAAAATTAACTTTTGTTTTTGATTTAGAGAATGAATATCAAGCCTTCGTAGTCGCATTTCCAGATCAGATCTCGTTTTGCACCTGATAATGTCATTAAATCAATTAACTGTGTGAGTGAACCCTTCATAAAATAACCGATAATATTTTCAAAAAACAACCCCTAAAAAGTACATTACCGTAATGAGTGGATTAGAATAACTAATAGCTGAGCTCAATAAAAATAGAGGACAAGGGCAAACGGGAGGTTAATATTCTGATATCGATCTGCCCAAATTGCCTACTTATTGCGCAATATAATTCCCAGGTTCATTCCAGACGATGCTCGAAAAATACTCGATGTTGTATGTGGGAGAACATTCACCTGTAGTTTGACGTAATAACACTCTTACCAAAAAAAGAGGTAGTTTGGCGATTCTATTATAGTATTATAACTGATAATGTATGCTTGATGGGTTGAACAAATAGGTATTGTTAATCATTTACCAGGATAATGTAGGTTTTTGTGAATATTCTCCACTATTGACATGACTTGACATGTCATCAGACAACTGGGCAAGAAAGTAATGAAGATCGAACTTCCGTACGTAATTCATAATGTCTTGACAAATTCTGCAGATTATAGATGTTCGTACTTATTCGAGCTGTCATCAAATAGCACAGTTCCCTGTACACAGTTTCATAGTAAAATCAAGGTGATTCTTCACGTGTTTCACTTTATTTAAGTCTGACGATGCCTGAAATAAAATCAAACGCGTTGCGAATCATCTGTGCTTTACTGTGAGACTTTTTACAAAAAATGGTACTATTGAGCCATATTTGATTAGTTGTCAAGTAACTTTTTAATGGATTCGCTTATAGTAATTTGACAGCAGCGATGAATAATACTCACTGATTTCCTTTTACGGAACCTTTATTCGTAATTAGCTGGGATAAGAAACACCCCAAAGGTTGATGCCTCGGTCGGTGGCGATTTTGTTATGCTGATTTATTATTCGTTTCCCAAACCAAATGATCAACAACGATTCTGCATGCACATTCACCATGCATCTCAGTATCTTGATACGCAATCTACATGTTTATCGAAATCTTTTATGGAATTTTTAACAAGTCCCACTTTATGGAAAATGAAGTTTGTTCCAACCACTGATATAAAATCACTTGAGGATATGGCATAATTTCAAGGGGTTAGACCAATATTTTTATCCTACAAATGTGTAAGTGGCATCGAACATAAATAATGTAGTCGGGCCTGCAGTACCCCAAACGTGTGAGCAGTACTCGACGCTAGGTTATCTAGGCATTGTATAGAGTGAGGAGGTCATGCAGAGAAAAGTACTTTTTAGCTCTAAACAAATCGCCTAGTTATTTCCAAGCAGCTGCCGCTATATGGTTTGTTCGTACAGTAGTCGGTAACTTGTCGGTGACTGTCAAAATCAGAATCAGAGAGATGTTACCTGTTCGTACAGTTTCTGACTGTTTGCCGACAGCTAATCCGCTGTTCGTACAGAACCTTCTGACAGATTAGAGGACACCAGTCAATCAGTGACAGTGACAAGTATCAGAGTGTGTCGGAAGTATCTTGAGGGCTACAAGTGCTTCGCAAGAGGCATTTAATGAACTTTTCTCTAATGGACGGTATGAGGATACCTGACTTCGGTCTCCCATCGTAAGC